GCCGAGAACTGCTGGGCGAAGTTCTCGACCGCGTCGCCGAAGAGGCCGGTCTGGGACACGGGGGAGTTGAGGAACCGGAGCTTCTCAGCCTCACTCATGTCTGCCAGACACAGCCAGAGATGGCGCTCCTGGACCACCAAGGTGGACATCGCATGACCCACTGACCGCGCGGTGACCTTCGTCGCACGAAGCGCGAGGTCCGTTGCGGCACGAAGTTCCTGGAGAACTTGTGGATGATGACCACCCTCGTGCAGGTCCTTCAGTGCCTTGGCCTGATGGACCTGCAGCAACGCCATGGCGTGCATGGCAGAGGCAGCTTCCCCACAGGCCTTGTAAGCCTCGTCGAATAGGTCCGACGAGTACCTACAGGCCCGGGAAGGAAGACACGGTTCTCCGCGCCGAGTGGAGTTAGGGCACAGCTGCATTGCAGCGGCCCGCTCCACTGGCGGGATGCGCGTGTATCCCTTAGCTGCCCCGCCATCAAGGGTGGTGAGGGAGGAGGAGCCACCGGAACGGTTTCTGGCAGTAAAAGGTGCCGTCCACATTCCCGTAAGCTCCTCATGCACTTCCGGGAAGAAAGGCACTGGGGTGGGTTGCTGAGAACCAGCACGCGCCACCCCGAGATACCAATCATCCAACCTCGAGGGTTCGGGACACGGTGGAGGATTCCACACGAGCCCGACCCCGTTGGCGGCCCGGGAGAGCATGGCCATCATCTCCGGGTCCGTCTCAGGCACCGCTGGCACCCCCGAAGGAGGCAGCGGTGCCGAGTCGTCGTCCGCAGAGAAGTCTGACCCACCCTCCGATGCAGCGATCGACATCTGGTCACTGGGAGCCCCAAAGGAGACAACCGGTACACACCTCGAGGATGGTCCAGCTTTCTCCAATGGAAGCTCAACTGGCTGCGGAGCATGAGAGGGGTGAGGGCTCCTAGGGGGTTGGTTCCCCGAAGGAGACGCGCTCACCGTGATCCTCAGGTCACCCGTGCCCCCGCCCGAAGCAACCCTCCGAGGAGGATTGGAACGAGGCAGAGGCACGGGGACTCCGCCCCTTTGCAGGAACAGGAGTCTCGACCGTAGCTCCGCGATGGTCATCTTCCCACAATGGGTACATGACTCATCCACAAACGCTGCCTCAGCGTGTTCAATGCCCAGACACACGAGGCAGCGCTTGTGACCATCCTGTGAGCCCAGGTAACGACCGCATCCAGAAACACACAGATAGAAAGTCATCTTTTTTTTTTTTTTTTTAAAGACGCTGTCTATCTGTGTAAGCTCTTTTAGGGACTACTCTCACTGGTGCTGAAGCACGCAGGGGAACAGCCACTGCGAACACAGACGGGAATGTGCACCCGTCTGCGCGCTGTCTCTCTCTCTCGCTGGCAGGTCTTACCGGCTGTGAGAACAGCCTTTGAGCGCTGAACTGCGCACCTTACCAGCTGTTAAAACAGCTTTTTTGAATTTGCTCAAAAAAACAAAACAAAAAAGACAGACAGAAGAGAGAGGACACAAGACTGCTCGCGCTGCCGTGCTGTAACGCCCGCACCGAACAAGGAGAGATCCAACGAAGGCTTGCCAAGTTTCACACTCTGTAGGATTACCATGAAGCGTTTGGCTCCGAAGCAAAAAGCTAGTGTGCAATCATAACAGCTGCTGTTAAATACCCGCGCTGACGAGGACGCGCAGCTGATGCAAATGATTGCATGCCAATGTGCATTGGCTTGTTTTAGTTTCACTCGAAGTAGATTGGCCTCTCTAGCGAGATTCCTATTGGTCAGTCTGACCTACGTTGTAGTGACTGACCGATAGGGAACTAAAATAATCTTTAATATTTTAATATTATTTTATTAAATTTAAAAACAATCACTATATGTCATAAAACAGTATTATATTGTTTTAATTTTAAAATATAACTAAACTAATCCAATGTTTTACATTTTTAATATATTATTTTTAATAAAGATAGAAATAATCAGTATCAGTCATAAAAAGCAGGACTGGTTGATCAAAGCAAAGCTGCAATTTCCAGTTTGCGTTCTGGTTTATGTCTGAGGAATAACCTGTGTTCAACACTCAGATGTGAGTCAGATGTGAGATGTTCAACACTCAGATGCGAGTCAGATGTGAGATGTTCAACACTCAGATGGGAGTCAGATGTGAGATGTTCAACACTCAGATGTGAGTCAGATGTGAGATGTTCAACACTCAGATGTGAGTCAGATGTGAGATGTTCAACACTCAGATGTGAGTCAGATGTGAGATGTTCAACACTCAGATGCGAGTCAGATGTGAGATGTTCAACACTCAGATGCGAGTCAGATGTGAGATGTTCAACACTCAGATGTGAGTCAGATGTGAGATGTTCAACACTCAGATGTAAGTCAGATGTGAGATGTTCAACACTCAGATGCGAGTCAGATGTGAGATGTTCAACACTCAGATGCGAGTCAGATGTGAGATGTTCAACACTCAGATGTGAGTCAGATGTGAGATGTTCAACACTCAGATGTGAGTCAGATGTGAGATGTTCAACACTCAGATGCGAGTCAGATGTGAGATGTTCAACACTCAGATGCGAGTCAGATGTGAGATGTTCAACACTCAGATGCGAGTCAGATGTGAGATGTTCAACACTCAGATGTGAGTCAGATGTGAGATGTTCAACACTCAGATGCGAGTCAGATGTGAGATGTTCAACACTCAGATGTGAGTCAGATGTGAGATGTTCAACACTCAGATGCGAGTCAGATGTGAGATGTTCAACACTCAGATGCGAGTCAGATGTGAGATGTTCAACACTCAGATGCGAGTCAGATGTGAGATGTTCAACACTCAGATGCGAGTCAGATGTGAGATGTTCAACACTCAGATGCGAGTCAGATGTGAGATGTTCAACACTCAGATGTGAGTCAGATGTGAGATGTTCAACACTCAGATGCGAGTCAGATGTGAGATGTTCAACACTCAGATGTGAGTCAGATGTGAGATGTTCAACACTCAGATGTGAGTCAGATGTGAGATGTTCAACACTCAGATGCGAGTCAGATATGAGATGTTCAACACTCAGATGCGAGTCAGATGTGAGATGTTCAACACTCAGATGTGAGTCAGATGTGAGATGTTCAACACTCAGATGCGAGTCAGATGTGAGATGTTCAACACTCAGATGTGAGTCAGATGCGAGATGTTCAACACTCAGATGCGAGTCAGATGTGAGATGTTCAACACTCAGATGCGAGTCAGATGTGAGATGTTCAACACTCAGATGCGAGTCAGATGTGAGATGTTCAACACTCAGATGCGAGTCAGATGTGAGATGTTCAACACTCAGATGCGAGTCAGATGTGAGATGTTCAACACTCAGATGTGAGTCAGATGTGAGATGTTCAACACTCAGATGCGAGTCAGATGTGAGATGTTCAACACTCAGATGTGAGTCAGATGTGAGATGTTCAACACTCAGATGCGAGTCAGATGTGAGATGTTCAACACTCAGATGCGAGTCAGATGTGAGATGTTCAACACTCAGATGCGAGTCAGATGTGAGATGTTCAACACTCAGATGCGAGTCAGATGTGAGATGTTCAACACTCAGATGCGAGTCAGATGTGAGATGTTCAACACTCAGATGCGAGTCAGATGTGAGATGTTCAACACTCAGATGTGAGTCAGATGTGAGATGTTCAACACTCAGATGTGAGTCAGATGTGAGATGTTCAACACTCAGATGTGAGTCAGATGTGAGATGTTCAACACTCAGATGTGAGTCAGATGTGAGATGTTCAACACTCAGATGCGAGTCAGATGTGAGATGTTCAACACTCAGATGTGAGTCAGATGTGAGATGTTCAACACTCAGATGTGAGTCAGATGTGAGATGTTCAACACTCAGATGTGAGTCAGATGTGAGATGTTCAACACTCAGATGCGAGTCAGATGTGAGATGTTCAACACTCAGATGCGAGTCAGATGTGAGATGTTCAACACTCAGATGCGAGTCAGATGTGAGATGTTCAACACTCAGATGTGAGTCAGATGTGAGATGTTCAACACTCAGATGCGAGTCAGATGTGAGATGTTCAACACTCAGATGTGAGTCAGATGTGAGATGTTCAACACTCAGATGCGAGTCAGATGTGAGATGTTCAACACTCAGATGTGAGTCAGATGTGAGATGTTCAACACTCAGATGTGAGTCAGATGTGAGATGTTCAACACTCAGATGCGAGTCAGATGTGAGATGTTCAACACTCAGATGCGAGTCAGATGTGAGATGTTCAACACTCAGATGCGAGTCAGATGTGAGATGTTCAACACTCAGATGCGAGATGTTCAACACTCAGATGCGAGTCAGATGTGAGATGTTCAACACTCAGATGCGAGTCAGATGTGAGATGTTCAACACTCAGATGCGAGTCAGATGTGAGATGTTCAACACTCAGATGTGAGTCAGATGTGAGATGTTCAACACTCAGATGCGAGTCAGATGTGAGATGTTCAACACTCAGATGCGAGTCAGATGTGAGATGTTCAACACTCAGATGCGAGTCAGATGTGAGATGTTCAACACTCAGATGTGAGTCAGATGTGAGATGTTCAACACTCAGATGCGAGTCAGATGTGAGATGTTCAACACTCAGATGTGAGTCGATGTGAGATGTTCAACACTCAGATGCGAGTCAGATGTGAGATGTTCAACACTCAGATGCGAGTCAGATGTGAGATGTTCAACACTCAGATGCGAGTCAGATGTGAGATGTTCAACACTCAGATGCGAGTCAGATGTGAGATGTTCAACACTCAGATGTGAGTCAGATGTGAGATGTTCAACACTCAGATGTGAGTCAGATGTGAGATGTTCAACACTCAGATGCGAGTCAGATGTGAGATGTTCAACACTCAGATGTGAGTCAGATGCGAGATGTTCAACACTCAGATGCGAGTCAGATGTGAGATGTTCAACACTCAGATGTGAACGCTGTGTTGAGCATGGAGACTCACTGAGCGGCGATCTTGATGAACTTCTTGAGCAGCTGGACTCGTTTCCCGGGCGACGGGCACAGCAGCACCTCTGACATCACCCACTGCTGGACCTCATTACAGCGCTGCAGCAGGAACTCTAGCGCCACCGTGTGGCCAGTGCTGGCCTGGCGACTGAACGTGTAGAAGATCAGCTCTTGCTGAGAGAGAGAGAGAGAGAGAGAGAGAGAGAGAGAGAGAGAGAGAGAGAGAGAGACATCATCACACAGGCTTTTCATGTGTTTCCATATGTGTTTTAAAAGAGCAAATGTGCAATATCTTTCAAAAGTTTGGGGTCAGTACGATTTTTTTTAAAGAAATGAATACGTTTATTCAGCAAGGATGCATTACATTGATCAAAAGTGACAGTAAAGACTTTTATAATGTTACAAAAGATTTCTATTTTAAGTAAATGCTGTGCTTTTGAACTTTTTATTCATTAAAGAATCCTGAAAAATGTTTATCATGGTTTTCAAAAAAAATATGAAGCTGCACAACCATTGATTTAAAAATGTGTCGACCACCATTGACCAATTTTCACCATTGATAATAATAAATGTAAGCATATTAGAATGATTTATGAAGGATCATGTGACACTGAAGACTGGAGTAATGATGCTGAAAATACAGCTTTAACATCACAGGAATAAATTACATTTTAACATTCATTTTGAAATTGTAATAATATTTCTCAAATTGACTGTTTTTCCTGTATTTTTGATCAAATAAATGTAGCTTTGGTGAGCAGAGGAGACTCTTTCAAAAACATAAAAAATTCCCATCGACCCCAAAAAAAGTTTTAATTTATAATTGTAATATCTTTCAAAAGTTTGGGGTCAGTACGATTTTTTTTAAAGAAATGAATACGTTTATTCAGCAAGGATGCATTACATTGATCAAAAGTGACAGTAAAGACTTTTATAATGTCACAAAAGATTTCTATTTTAAGTAAATGCTGTGCTTTTGAACTTTTTATTCATCAAAGAATCCTGAAAAATGTTTATCATGGTTTTCAAAAAAATATGAAGCTGCACAACCATTGATTTAAAAATGTGTCGACCACCATTGACCAGTTTTCACCATTGATAATAATAATTGTAAGCATATTAGAATGATTTATGAAGGATCATGTGACACTGAAGACTGGAGTAATGATGCTGAAAATTCAGCTTTGATCACAGGAATAAATTACATTTTAACATATATTCAAATAGAAAACAGTCATTTTGAAATTGTAATAATATTTCTCAATTTGACTGTTTTTCCTGTATTTTTGATCAAATAAACGCAGCTTTGGTGAGCAGAGGAGACTCTTTCAAAAACATAAAAAAATCCCATCGACCCCAAAGTTTTAATTTATAATTGTATTATTTTTCTGTAATTTTTGATACTTTATATATATTTTTACTTCCATGTTTGATTATCTTGTTCTGTACATGCTGTAGCGCTTTGAGTCTGAGAGTCTTGAGTCTCATTTATTATTACAAATAGAATGTATTATTATTGTTATCAGTCAGAAGCTTCACCTCATGGATGGAGTTGAAGAGACTCCACTCGAAGTTGGTGAGAGCCACGGCGACGTCCCACGTGTTGATGCCCAGCAGTCTGACCGGCTTCTGTCCCAGCTCAGGACACTCAGTCAGGGGCGGCTGAGACACACACACACACACACACACACACACACACACACACACACACACACACACACACACACACACACACACACACACACACGGGTTCAGGCTTTAAACCCCACAGCTCTAGAAACTCTTTGTTTTTACTTATGAAGAAATATTAAAGTTCCTAATATTTATGTAAGATTCTTCTTGTGGCTTGACTAGGAATTGTCTTGGAAATACTGCTTTGGAGTGTAAACAATGGTTTGGAGTCATTGAAGAAATCCTGGTTATGGAAGAACTTGCTCTAAAGACGTGCTTTCAAAATGGACTGGGAAAAGTGGTTGATATATGAAAACTGTAAAGATATCCTCCGCTAAGTAAACAGTAATTGTTATAGGAATGGTTAACCTCGCCTGTTTGGCTTTGTTGTTCTTTTTTTTTGTTTTAATTGGGGGGTCAGTGCATATATTTATAGGTATATATGTGTATGTTCATTGATATGTAAGAATATGCGCTGATATGTATGAGTATACAGCTGTGTACCCTATAGCATATATTTGATATGTATATATGCATAATTTTCCCCCTCCCTTCTGTTAATATTGGTTTTACTTTCATTGTTAATCTTGTGAATTAAAATAATTAAAAATAAAAACATGGCGAACACAAATAGAAGGTAAAGTTGTCAGTTGCTGCTACCAGGATCTCGCTGAGGTCTCTTCGACAGGCGATCAGTCGGCCCGGCGCCACCAGAGACTCCGGATAAATACTGTCGTGCGGCTGGAGGACACGCTGCTCTGTGACAGGAGAGAGAGAGAGAGTGAGTGTGTGTGTGTGTGTGTGTAGAAACAGCAGGGTTTGTGGTTCTGTCGAGAGTGAATGTGTGTGTGTGTGTGTGTAGAAACAGCAGGGTTTGTGGTTCTGTCGAGAGTGAATGTGTGTGTGTTTGTGTGTGTGTGTGTAGAAACTGCAGGGTTTGTGGTTCTGTCGAGAGTGAATGTGTGTGTGTGTAGAAACTGCAGGGTTTGTGGTTCTGTCGAGAGTGAATGTGTGTGTGTGTAGAAACAGCAGGGTTGTGGTTCTGTCTAGAGTGAATGTGTGTGTGTGTGTGTGTGTGTGTGTGTGTGTGTGTGTGTGTGTGTGTGTAGAAACAGCAGGATTTGTGGTTCTGTCGAGAGTGAATGTGTGTGTGTAGAAACAGCAGGGTTTGTGGTTCTGTCGAGAGTGAATGTGTGTGTTTGTGTGTGTGTGTGTGTGTAGAAACAGCAAGGTTTGTGGTTCTGTCGAGAGTGAATGTGTGTGTGTGTGTGTGTGTGTGTGTGTGTGTGTGTGTGTGTGTGTGTGTGTGTGTAGAAACTGCAGGGTTTGTGGTTCTGTCGAGAGTGAATGTGTGTGTGTGTGTGTGTGTGTGTAGAAACAGCAAGGTTTGTGGTTCTGTCGAGAGTGAATGTGTGTGTGTGTGTGTGTGTGTGTGTGTAGAAACAGCTAGGTTTGTGGTTCTGTCGAGAGTGAATGTGTGTGTGTGTAGAAACAGCAGGGTATGTGGTTCTGTCGAGAGTGAATGTGTGTGTGTTTGTGTGTGTGTGTGTGTGTGTGTGTAGAAACTGCAGGGTTTGTGGTTCTGTCGAGAGTGAATGTGTGTGTGTGTGTGTGTGTGTGTGTAGAAACAGCAGGGTTTGTGGTTCTGTCGAGAGTGAATGTGTGTGTGTGTGTGTGTGTGTGTGTAGAAACTGCAGGGTGTGTGGTTCTGTCGAGTGTGTGTGTGTGTGTGTGTGTGTGTGTGTGTGTGTGTGTGTGTGTGTGTGTGTGTGTGTGTGTGTGTGTGTGTAGAAACTGCAGGGTGTGTGGTTCTGTCGAGAGTGTGTGTGTGTGTGTGTGTGTATGAACCTCCGCTGTACGTCTGGACCGTCAGCATCATGTCGTCTTCAGATCTGTCCATCCGCTGAGACACGATGTGCAGAAGCTCCTGAGCCACGACTGAAGGCTTCACACGCATACTGAGATACGAGTCACAGCTCACGTAGACACGACACATCACTGACACACACACACACACACACACACACACACACACACACACACACACACACACACACACACACACACACACACACACACACACAGAGAGAGAGAACTGGTTATTCAGTCACTTTAATCAGTGAATCTCATGAAAACTGTCAAAAATATGTCTGGACTCATTTCACCCCCAGTCAAAAGATGAAGCAGTTACATTTATATATTTATATTCATTTATATTCCTATTACAAACATATATTATAAACATTATTTCATTATTATTATTTATTTAAATATTTTTTCCATAAATAAAATGTTGTTCTGTTAATCTATCATTTTGAATCTATTATATTTTATTTACATTTATATTTTAATAAGTTTCTATTTGCAAAAAAGAAAATTAAGGACTATTATTGTTTTTCTAAAAACAAATTGTTATTATATTTTAATTTTGATTTACATTTACAAATATTGCATTAAAATGTTTAAAATAAGATACATAATATTTTTTGCACAAAGACAATTTTGTTTATTACTAATATATGTATTATTATATATTATGACGTTTGTTTTGCATTGCAACATTTTTTTTACAATGACATAATATAACATAATAATTTGATATGCAAAATGATATACAAAATATAAAAATAAATAAGAATATAAAATGAATTAAATACATATAGGTCAAGTTCCACCTGTGTGAGTGTGTGTGTGTGCACTTTTAGACATGTCTGGACAGCTGCGTTTGAGAAAGATGAAAGGCAGGAAAATCTAAAATGTATGTGTGATAGTTAAGATAGTCATATATATAGTTTTTTCCTCATTTTAATTACTTTCCCTTGACATTTAACCCAAAAGACTTATGGTTTCTATATTTTAATGTATTATTAATTTTTTTTCAATTTAGATATAGCCGTTTAGCTTTGATTTTGGTTTCATTTCAATTTATTTTAGGCATTTAAAAAAAAACATTCACACCTAAAATATGTGGGTATATGTAGGTCATGTTAAATGTGTGCAGGGAATAAGGAGAGGACTGAGGAATACCGTCTTTAGTCTCGACCGGAGACCCTCGCAGAGGAACACACATCTCCTTCAGGCTCAGCTGCGGGTACAGCGCTTTATTCTGGAACATTTGAGAATATGTACTCACAATACAAACCAGGTATTTCATTTTTTGCTCATTCTTTTCACAATTTCTTCTCTCACCTTTTGGTGTGGAGAATAGTCGTCCACCGTACTGAGGGAAAACGGAGAAATAAGTGAGAGACGCATAACGAGACATCATTCATGGCTGTTGAAGTGTGAGTCTGACAGGAGATAGAGAACTGATTTAACACTCCTGTCAGAGACGTGTGGGCCAGCTGTCTCCTGTGAGATGTGTGTGTGTGTGTGTGTCCTCTCTCGCTCGCTCTACATCCATCTATCTGAAGAGTGACGCTCTAACGGGAAGTGGGAGACATCATCGTGTCTCAGTCTCAGACTGTGAGAAGTTTGGGAAACTGCAGGATGAATGACTGTTTTAATCATTTCCTCATCCCTCATGCTAACACAAAACCTTTCTGTGGAGGATAAAAACGCTCTTTCCCGTGACTATGTAAGATGATTGAGTTCAGAAGTTGCTCCTTTCGAGCTCAAATATCAATTTTGTCTCAAATGTTCCTCCCAAAGTCCAATAAAAGAAATGAAAACAGACACAAATGAACCAGTTATTGTCATACAGTTAGAGCATAGAGCTATACAATTAATGTACATAACAGCTCAGATTGGTCTTTGGGAGAAATTAATGAGTTCATAATCAGGTGTCTGAGTTTTGATTGTAGAATTTGGTGTTTTGAGCACAATTTGAAACATTGTTGAGATATTTTCTGAAACTTTAAAAGAGACTATTGGTGTGTTTTTAGGAAACTCAAACAAAAGTGACAATTTGATTGCTTTGCTCTCCTAGACAAATAATTGAGATATTCAAGATATTTAAATGAACTTAATGAACAAAAAAGGAGATTTTAAATAAATTCAAATTAACTTGATGAGAAATGTTCATACTGACATCTATTGGCAAATCTGAGCACAGTTTGAGACATTATCGAGATCTCTTATGAAGAGATAGAGCCAAAAATAATAAAAAAAAGACTCTCAAAACCCGCTAGGAAACACAAATGAGATCTTAAACACATTCAAACAGACTTGATGAGAAATGTTTGAGCCCATACTAGGATCTCTGACTTTCATTTCCAAATATGAAATGAAATATCATATCCGAAATATCATATCCAGTTTGAGACAATATTGATGTCCTATGAAACTCCATAGAAAAAAAGTCTCAAGCAAAGGTTTCAATTCAATCCTGTTGTTGCTGTCCAGGAGAAACAAACGAGATATTAAATAAATTCAAATGAACTTAATGAGAAATAGTTGAGATCATACTGATATCTTTTCAATCTATATTCAATATGTTTTCAAAATCTGAGCATAGTTTGAGACAATATCGTGATCTCTTAGGGAACTCCAGAGCAAAAACAGACAAGCAAAAGTCTCAATTTAATCTCATTGCTGTCTAAGAGAAACGAAGGAGATTTTAAATCAATTCAAATTAACTTGAGTTCATATTAATATCTCTGACATTGATTGGCAAATCTTGCACAGTTTGAGACAATATTGAGATCTCCTAGAAACTCTAAAGCCAACACATGAGATCATTTAAGAATCAATTCTCCATGTAATCTCAATGTTCAGTGACATCAACGACAGTATTGAGCATTTCCCTCTTTTATTCATCTCACACACGTTACGCCCAATTACCCTTCTGCCGCTGGGGGAGCCAATCAGATCTCTTCAAAAGGGCGTGAGCACAGTGTAACTCCGCCCCTCACGGCAGTCATAATTACTCCTCCGGGTCCGTCACCTCATTCAGCGGGATACGAACACACGCCTGCCAAACCTGAGGATGAGCAGCGGGAGGACGGGAACGTTTCCATGCTAAGCTCAACTCACTGAGGCTAAGCTGATGAACTGACAAACGTAAGGAGCTCAGAGAGACTCGCCTCCAGAGACACGGGATGTGTGTGTGTGTGTGTGTGTGTTCATCTGCATGTGCTCTGCTTTACATGTAAGATGACTTACTGCTAAAACTGATTATTGAAGAAGTTCACGTGATCTTCACTACGCAAAATGTCTAAATTAAAGGTACAGTATGCAGGATTTTTGCAGTAAAATATCCAAAAACCACTAGGCCAATGTTATATATTTTGTTTAGTTGATTACTTGAAATGTTTCCAACTATTTGTAAATCGTGAGAAAATTGTGATTTTAACCAAGGAAACGGGGCGTGTGAGCAGGGGTGAGGAGTCGGCAGTCAATGATGTCATATCCGCGTTACCCTCGGTTTCCGCCAGGTTTGCGCTCGCACTGCCATAGTAACCATGGCGACAGACGTTGACAACTGGGTTATGCCCGTTATGCCTAGCAGGACGCTCACGCTGTTGTTGTTTTCTTCAAACATTATGGACCATGGCAAGCAGACTTTGAGACAAAAAGAGGACTAAAACGAAGATCAACATCTTTCGAGATGCCGAGAGCTCCACGTCTGCGACTAACTTCCACTCGACAGAGACGCGAGTGTTGCATGTTACTTTATTAGACAGGTGAGCAAATGTACATAAAACTAATCAATGTTATGTAGTTCAACATGATGAAATGTTAGAATATGATCTGTATGTTATTCTAGCTTAGTCTCATACAGCCAACACACAACCTAACTAACAACATTCAACACACTCAAATGCCGTTTAGTGTGATAGTGTGACTGTTAAGGCCTCATTATGCTTCTGCGTCAACTCCACGGCGTAGCTACGCCGTCACTCCTACGGCGTCGTGGCCGTTTTATGGTTCTGCGTCAGGTTGCGTTGCATCGCGGTGCATTTCACCGCCAGAACGCTAGGGGGGTGTGTGCTTCGCGAATCTCTTTGCTAGTTTGTTTTGGTTCCGTGCGCCGGTTCCGCTTTCGTTTCCATTACCCTTCAAATTGCGCAAATTGAAATTGCGAATTGAAAATACGCACAATGGAACCACGTCCATTTCGCAAAAACCCCAGTTTATCGCAAAAAAGATTTTACGTTCGCATGAGGAGGTTTTTCAGGCAATTCGAAAAAGGAATATTTTGCAAAACTGCAATGGAAACAGGTTTTGCGCATTTACAGTCACTTGACTTAGAAGACGCGGTGTGTTTGGGGTCCGTGTCCGCAAATAATAATAATAATTATCGTCATTATTATACATTTATTAGGCTACATATGTAGAAGACGCTTTTATCCAAAAAAGGAACAAAGCAATTCGTCACATCTCATTCAAAATACAGGTTTGACAATAATAATACGGGGCTAAGATTATCACAAATAAACACAAGATTTTGACGCATATCCAAGCGTTTGTGCGCGGCGCGCACTGGATGGCAGGGATAGGCGCGCTGGCGCGAACACTTGCATTTTCCTATCAACAGTGGAAACAACTTAAAATACTCTATCATTTCTGGTCATACAGAAAATAATAATACATTATTCGCAACTACTTTTATTTGCGTAAACTCACAATAACAAGAAAACGTTGTGGTTTTGTAAAATAAAATAAAACAATCAGGCGCGCTTTCATGGTCTCCGTGAACTGAAGCGCGAGAACTGAAACAAAATATAGCCTAAGCTAAAGCTTGAAATGTCCACTTTAAAACGAACAAATTCGAATCGAAAGCTAATACCTTCTGATTATGTAATCCGTATGAAAGGTGCATTTCTCTCTAAAGGTGCATCCGGAGATATGTTTTTAGCCGACATTGATTTAGAAAACAATAGTTTATTAATAAACAATTAAAATGCCTCGTTATTTTTTCAGACACATTTATTATAGCCTATAACTCACCTATAAATCACCTTTCTGTAGGCTGTGGTTATAGTCTTCTCATTCAGCACTGCGGGAATTAATTTCCAGGTTCTAATTTGGCCTTAGAAAACCAGTGAAATCTACATTTTTTCCATATTAATTTGTGAATATTTTAAATGTTTAATAAAGGGGCAAAAAATCATAAACAAATATCTTAAAATTCGTCGATATTTTTTTTTTTTTTTTTTTGCGCAGCATTTGGTGTACCGTTCAAATTAAAATATTGGTGTTCAACTTTGCTTTTTAAAAATACAACAACCGTTCATTTTTCGTTTTGCAATTACGGGTTAAATAAGGGAAAACGAATGGACACAAAAGTACACTGACCGTTTGGAATTAATACGAGACAGAGTTCTTTATTAAATTCATAAAAGAAACAATAGCCTACTGGACTCTAAACCTCAAAGAAATGCCACAATCAAGACCTCGAAGCAGAAATTATTGTAAAGCACTGAGAGGAATGTAATCTAATTTCGTTGTACCTTGTACAATGACAATAAAGAATTCAATTCAATTCAATTCAAAATGAGGGAGAACTCCGTGTCTTTCCCTGCCATCAATGCTTGGATAACACACACGTCTCCTTCCATTAATAATAATAATGTATAGTGCGGTGGCTATAGGCTATAACGTTAAACCTACCAACGTCCGTTAACATGATTTTTGGAATGGCTTATCGCGAGAGGAAAAAAAAGACGTTTTAGTCGCATAACATCGGTTAATGGAAACGCCGTCATTTCGCAATAGTTTTTTATCGACATATAGAAAAAATCGCAAAAGTTTTGCGCAAATCTGTAATGGAAACACGCCTAATGGCGAGCGAAAGAGAGAGAATGTTGTTGCAGCTGGAGCTAATCGACGTTGAACAACAAATGATTTTATTGCAAATGTTTAATCGCAGAAGAATCAAACGTTCCTCAACTTGATATCGTTAAAACAAACAGTGCAGTGGTCACTTTAAAAATGGCGGTATAGCGGGAGGGGGAAACCGGAAAAGCTTCACTCCCGAAATGATGTATCTAACCAATCACAGCCTTTGTGGTCTGCGTCGCCTCGACGAGTAGTTACAATTTTTTGGAGGTGCACGTCGAACTACGGCGGAGGGGTCGGAGAGGGGTTCGCGGCGACGCAGAGAGGTCTGCGGGGGTACGCCGTCGATTCGCCGTTATATCCGCGGGACTCGCGTTGCGTGTGGCGCTGGTATACGTCTAGCAATCGCGCCCTGCTTCACACCACAGTCATGTTAAAAACATCACTGTATTCACTCATTCATAAAAGATCCATCAGCTTGACGACAAGATCCATCAGCTTGACGACAAGATCCATCAGCTTGACGACAGTATTCACATCTCTGGATGTGAATACTGCAACGGATACTTTATGCTCCATCCTAACCTCTTCTTTAGACAATATCTGCCCTCTCTCCTCTAGGCCAGCACGCACCACTCCCTCTAACCCCTGGTTATCTGAGGTTCTTCGTGAACACCGGACCAAGCTCAGGGCAGCGGAGAGGAAATGGCGCAAATCAAAAGACACATCTGACCTCAGTAGGTATCAATCTCTGCTCTCTGCCTTCTCTGTTGATGTTCACGCTGCAAAATCTTCATATTTCCACAACAAGATCAACAGCGCCTCTAACACACGTTCACTGTTCAAGACATTCAATTCTCTCCTCTGTCCACCTCCACCACCACCCACCTCCTCTTTAACTGCTGATGATTTTGCTAACTTCTTCACTAACAAAACTACCACTATCAGCAGTCAGTTCTCAGCACAGGAACCCAGACTAACCTCTCCCACAGCCAATAACCTTCTCTCCTCCTTCACTCCACTAACCGAGGAAGAAGTATCTAAACTTCTCCTCTCCAGTCATCCTACCACCTGCCCTCTAGACCCCATCCCCTCACACCTTCTACAAGCCATCTCTCCCACACTTCTACCAGCTCTCACACACATTATCAACTCATCCCTCCACACTGGCATTTTCCCTACAGCATTTAAGCAGGCTCGGGTAACCCCTCTGCTTAAAAAATCAACATTAAACACATCACTTCTAGAGAACTACAGACCTGTCTCTCTCCTACCATTCATTGCGAAAACACTTGAACGAGTTACTTTTAACCAAGTATCATCCTTCCTGTCTCTGAACAACCAGCTGGATGTCAACCAATCTGGCTTCAAGAAAGGACATTCAACCGAGACTGCATTGCTGTCAGTCACGGAAGCCCTGCGGACCGCAAAAGCTGCTTCCAAATCATCAGTTCTCATTCTACTGGACCTGTCTGCTGCCTTCGACACTGTGAATCATCAGATCCTCTTGTCCACCCTCTCATCACTGGGCATCACTGGAACCTCCCTCAACTGGTTTAAGTCCTACCTCACAGGTAGGTCCTTCAAGGTCACATGGAGAGGTGAGGTATCCAAAGCACATCAACTGACCACAGGCGTTCCTCAGGGTTCAGTTCTCGGACCGCTCCTCTTCTCCATTTACACCACATCACTGGGACCTATCATACAGGCACATGGTTTCTCTTACCATTGCTATGCTGATGACACCCAGCTCTACCTCTCATTTCAACCAGATGACCTCACAGTAGCTGTACGGATCTCAAGCTGTCTGGCGGACATCTCTGCATGGATGAAGGAACATCACCTGCAGCTCAACCTGGCAAAGACTGAGCTTCTCGTCCTCCCTGCCAATCCGTCTCTACAGCACGACCTCACTATCCAGCTAGATTCATCCTCAATCACCCCATCAAGGTCGGTCAGAAATCTTGGAGTAATCTTTGATGATCAGCTGACCTTCACAGACCACATTACAAAGACAGCTCGATCATGCAGGTTTGCTATGCACAACATCAGGAAGATCAGGCCTTTCCTAACTGAGCATGCAACACAACTTCTCGTCCAGGCCCTGGTCATTTCTAGGCTTGATTACTGCAATGCTCTTCTGGCTGGACTTCCATCATGTGCAACTAAACCTCTACAAATGATCCAGAATGCTGCAGCTCGTCTGGTCTTCAACGAGCCCAAAAGGGCCCACGTCACTCCTCTGTTCATCTCTCTGCACTGGCTACCACTCGCTGCTCGCATCAAGTTCAAGGCTTTAACGCTTGCTTACAGATTGACCACAGGTTCAGCTCCCTCCTACTTCCACTCACTACTACAAGTCTACATCCCTACCAGAAGCCTACGATCGGTCAATGAGCGACGGCTCGTGGTACCTTCACAGCGGGGCACAAAATCACTCTCCAGAACATTCTCATTCACGGTTCCATGCTGGTGGAATGATCTCCCCACCCTCATCCGGAATGCAGAATCCCTGACAACATTCAAAAGACAACTGAAAACTCATCTTTTCCGGGAGCACTTAACATAAAAAAAAAAAAAAAAAAAAAAAAAAAAAAAAAAAAAAAAAAAAAAAAAAAAAAAAAAATCCTTTCCTCTAAATCCTCGCTTGCCTGGCTTATGCTACTCCGAGCTATGTCTGAACTTTGTATTTTGAGCACTTCTTGCGTTGCTTTTGCCTCTTCACGATGACTCGCTTGGTTTAGTCCTCAGTTGTAAGTCGCTTTGGATAAAAGCGTCTGCTAAATGACTAAATGTAAATGTAAATGTAAGATCCATAATTCAGCTTAATGCGGATATACGTCATTAATATACGCCTTTGTTATTGTAAGAGGTTAGCGACCCCTGGTGGCGAAAAATCCTGCATATTGTACCTTTAAAATGAAAAATGCAAAAAAAGTGAGACTCACTGTCTCCGGCGGAGAAGTTTCTGGAACTCCTTCAGGTCCTTCTCCAGCGTGGGGAACTCATAAACGTCCTCCAGCACGTATCGATACAGAGACTGCAGGACAACACCACATCTTTATATTAGTGGACTGATCCATCAAGGCAAGTTTTCATTTTCAGAATCAGCCAATAACGTTTCCCATTTGGATGATTATACTTCAGCAGCAGAACTGCCTACTGTGATGATGTACCATATTAAGTAATAAAATAATACAAAATGCAACAACAAAAAAATCAATAACAACTCATGGACGAATCATATATTCTTTCTTAAATACTCTTGAATAAGATTTGAATATATGGCCATTGCACATTGAATACCAGGAAATTCCATATCATTAAATAAAAAACTACTCCGCAGATACCAATCATATTTTAGTACTATTTATATACTATTATAGAATTTATAAATGTTTTGAATTAGCTTTTATTTTTATACTTTTATTTTTCATTTTAATTTTAGTTCAGGTTTTAGTAATTTTGTTATGTCCTTTTATCTATTTTTTATAATATTTGTTTTAGTTTTTTTTTTTATATATTTTTAATAATCTTTTGATCTAATATTAATATTTTGTTTTATTTCAGCTGTATTTCAATTAACATTTTTTTGTTATTATACTACCAGTTACAGGTTTGAATATATATTAATATAAAGCAGAATTCTGTAGGAAAACACGTCTGGGTGGCGACCGAATGTGTGTATATGAGAGACTGTGTGTTGTTGCACAGGCACTTGACCTTGCATCCATGCTGGGCAGTAAAGGGACGATTTATTACCCAGCATGCACTGGGAATGTATGTTATAATGGTGTACACTTCCTCAATGCATGCTGGATAATGTCAGTAAACTAATACAGTGAGGAAACCATGTTTCAATGCTGTAAAAAAACAGCACCTACATCCACATTCATGCAAAACACACACACACACACACACACACACACACACACACACAGAGAGTGTCTCAGCAGCATCATGTGCATCTTTTCTTAGCGTTTGATGGAATGTGAATGTTTTTGAGCGTGGTGTGTGTGACTGAGCCGGTAACATGCGTGTGTCCGCTGTGAGTGTGTCTGACCCATCACCACCCCCACCCCCCCAATTCTGCCTGTTACCAGGCAACTATCACCTGGGAAACGCTCCATGTAATGATCTACACGGCGACCGTGAAACATCCTCGTCACTGCAATGACACTACAGTTGCCATGGAAACACTGCGTGAGCGTGTGTGTGAGTGGGTGGAGACAAAAGCAGGTAAGAACAAGATGTACATTTGTGCTGCGTCTGTGTGTGTGTGTCCGTGTGTGTGTGTATGTGTGTGTCTAATCTCCTGAAGATGACAGACTGAAATCTTTGAAACATCGACACGCACACAAAAACATCAACATACAAATAATAAATACCTAAACACAAAATAAACAACTACACAAACACTCAGTTTCAGAGAACACATGGTTAGTGCTTTTAATGACGCCTGAAAGTGTTTTCTGGAGTGTTTTCATCTGCGTGTGGCCTTGAGCAACGAGCAGAAGGGAGAAAACATGTTTTCTGGAGTGAAAATGTGAAAAGCCATTAAACACACTCAAGTCCGGACATGAGGCCGAGTCGATCCCTGCGGAGAAGCCGTGAGTGTGTGAGTCACCCGCGCTAAACTAGCACTCGTACACTAAACGAGCAAACACACACACTATCACACATCTGAGGAGATTTCACAGCAAGTTCAGGCAACTAAATGCTTCTTATAGTTACTGACAGCCTTGACATATTTTTTTTGAAAATATTAAAATATTACATAAATATAATTTTAATGTTTTTATTATTTTGAGTAAATAAATAAAATACAGGTAGAAATTTACTGACAGTATTAAATAAAAATATTTAAAAATACTAAAATATTATAAATATAAAAATATAAATACAAAACTTTTTAATTTTGAGTACATATTGTGTAAAAAAAAACTTGAAAGTGAAAATTTTACAGAGACTTGAATACATTTTTTTAAAATATTAAAATATTACATAAATAGACAGTCTAAATTCTGAGTAAATATGTAAAATACAGGTAGAAATTCTACTGACAGTCTTAAATGAAAAATATATATTTTTTTAAATACTAAAATATTATATAAATACATAAATACAATAATATTGCATTAAACAACTTGTAGAAATTTTACAGATAGACTTGAAAACAAATATTTTAAATATTAAATGTGTTTTTTAGTAAATATTGTGTAAAATTGGTAGCAATTTCATGGGCAGTCTTGAAAAAAAATAGTTTAAAATATTAATATATATATATTTAAATTGAGTAAATACTGTGTAAATTACTAGTATAAATTTTCCTGATATTTAAAATATTATATAAATGTATATATATAATGTTGAATAAATATTTACTTCGTAATATAACTGTTCATTTTTCCCCTCTTAGCATTTTAAAAATAATAATATTAATTATTACATTGGTCATGCTGCTTTCGTATCTGCTTCTGAAAACGCATCAGAGGAGCGATATCGAAACCAACACACCAACAACAGCAGCAGAAGACAGACGGGTTACCCGGTGTTCAAATCACATCCGTGATACCACACAGATTACACTCATAAATATACATCAAATATATATATGTTCCCAGAAGCGTTTCACCTTCATGAAGAGTTTGACGTTCTCCTCCTCTCGCAGGAAGTCCTTGTAGAGCGTGCTCCACTGGGACACCAGGTGCAGGACCTTCCTCTTCCTGAAGAGGGCCTCCTTTCCTTCCTCCTTCCCTCGGGAACGCTTCGTACAGTAGGTGAGATCCGGTTAAAGACCCGTAACAAACAGCCTCGACTGAATCTACACACGACCACTTTAGGCCACACTGATTAACTATATAACACACACAATACTGGTGAAACAAGAAAAATTTGAATATCGTGCAAAAGTTCAGTAATTCAACTTAAAAGGTGAAACTAATATATTATATAGACTCATTACATGCAAAGTGAGATATTTCAAGCCTTTATTTGTTATCATTTTGATGATTATGGCTAACAGCTTATGAAAACCCCAAATTCAAAATTAAAATATTGTGAAAAGGTTTTCATAAGCTCAAAATGATAACAAATAAAGGCTTGAAATATCTCACTTCGCATGTAATGAGTCTATATAATATATTAGTTTCACCTTTTAAGTTGAATTACTGCAATAAATAAACTTTTGCACGATATTCTAATATTTCGAGTTTCATGTATATCTGCATCTGGCATTTGAAAGCATGCGGTAGTGCTGTGTGTTTGTGATGGAGAAGGATATTGTCCCAGCAGGGCTTGGCAGAGCTCACTGGTGGACATGAAGACCAGATACGTCAACAAGAAGTCGTCCAGAAGCATTTCTGAAAGACAAACGCACAGTAAAACATCACGGACCAGCAGATTTTAGCGCATGCAGAGACAATTAACCAGACCTTCAGCTGATCTACATTTCACTCTCCTGGAAGGCATGTTTAATGACAACTTAGATGAGATTCATGAGCGTGGGCTAATTAGTGCTGTGTGATGAGGCAAGCGTCACCATTGCTAGTGCTCATACTTGGGGTTCGTGATTTGAACAAACCCCCGATACACAATATCTACTCAAAATAAAACAGTATTTATAAAAAAAAGTTGTATATTTATGTAACATTTTAATGTTTTAGAGTTAGTAAATTCTTATTTTTTTAAATAGTTTATATTTTTGTATTCATAACACATATATTATGATGATTTATGATGATCCTAACAGAAAATGTTTTCATTTGCGAAATGAATATCCATTCCGCAAATGATTTTTTTGTTTTTGTTTTGGATCATCATAAATCATCTAAATTCTGTCAGTTACGTACTGAACTTTAGAGTTTCTTGTTGAGAAAATGTGTCATGTTACTTCACAAAAATGGCATATATATATATATATATATATATATATATACACATTTTTTTTTAAATTAATTTGTTTTTTAAGAAATATTGTTTTATTTTGAGTAGATATTGTGTAAAATACTGATAGAGATTAAAATAAATTCAACCCACTTGCAAAGAAAATTTCAAAATATTATACAAAATATACTTATTGTTTTTAAACACTGGTAGAAATTGTATTGACAGAACCAAAAAAAACACAAACATTAGAATATTATAAATACAACAATATAAATAACAAAAACTTTTTTTAATTTTGAATAAATATTGTGTAAATATTTTCTCACAGTCCTAAATAATAGTTTTTTTTTAACTATTTAATATAAACATAGATATAGACAGCCTTAAATAAGAAATAAAAAAAAATATATATATATATATATATATATTGTAGAAAGTAAAAAATGTAAAAAAAAAAAATAGAGTAAATATTATGTAATACTGGTATACTGGCAGTAATGAAAACTAAATATTCAAACCACAAAGACTTTCTGCACTGCATTCCTCTAAAACCCACAAACCCCTTCTTCATCTCCCTTCATCCTCTCTGTTTGTCTTCTCTGCGTCTGCTGATAAATATTCATTTCCATTTTTATCATCGACTGCCTGTGCTAACAGAACGCCGGCCCACAATCCCCCGCTCCACACGAGAGTCAGAAGAAGCAGGAGGGATGAGATGTGTGCATCATATAATTCATCATTCATACATACTATGAAGGATGAAATCATTTCATACTAAAAACTAATGTATCTGTGATATGTAAATCTAGTGGAAAGTGATAACTGACAGAATTTAGATGATTTATGATGATCCTAACAAAACAAACAAATAATTTGCGGAATGAATATTCATATCGCAAATGAAAACATTTTCTGTTACGATCATCATAAATCATCATAATATACAGCCTATGTGTTAATTTTTTTTTTTAAATATTACATAAATATAAAAATGTAAATCACTTTTTTTATATAAATACTGTTTTATTTTGAGTAGATAGTGTGTAAAATAAATTCAACCCACTTGCTAAATATTATACAAAACATACTTATAATTCTTTTATTGTTTTTAAACACTGGTAGAAATTGTATTGACAGAAGCAAAAAGAAAATACATTACAATATTACATAAACATAACAACAACTTTTTTCATTTTGAGTAAATATTGTGTAAATATTTTCTCACAGTCCTAAATAATAGTTTTTTTACTATTTAATATTACATAAATATAAAAGTATATAAAACTATTTTAAGAAAATATTGTGTAAAATACTGAAAAAACTGTTGTCGTTCTTCTCAAGTGTAGATTATGCACTATGATTGATAGGGATGCACCGAAATAAAATTTTTGGCTGATACGATAACCGATAATTCTTAATATTTGAAAGCCAATAACCGATATATTGGCCGATAAATCTGAATCCAAATTTTTATATAATTTTTGAGAGCCTGATTACAAAAAACAAAATTCTCACCATTAAAAGCCATCATGATGAACAGTGCGCATTTGAAATAAATAATCATTATTTATCGGCATTAATATATCGGCAAAATGTTCTTATCGGGTCGATACCGATAACATTAAAAATGAACATATATCGGCTGATACTGATATGGTGGCTGATATACTGTGCATATATATATATATACTGTGCATCTAATGACTGACTTTTGAAACGATGGTTACCGGAACGATTAAAAAGCAGATTTAGATGATCAGTTCTGTATATATAGCTATTATAATACCCCCATATGGAGATGTTCAAGGTTTAATTGTTGCATTCAGACTGAAAAAGCTCTCCTTTACATCAAATATGAGTTTTCAACACCCAAGAAAGCTAAGATTTTAGCCTCATTCATAGTCCTACTGATTAAACTCACACCTCTTTCTCCTAAAAATACTATGATCCCCTTTGCTTCCCTGAACGGCCTGGTTTCCCGCCGGGAAAGCATTCACACGATTTCTCATGAAGTCTCTGAACAATTATCACTGAACACTGACGCAGGTCTGAACACAAACACTGACTCAAGAGTTATTCTTCTCTATGATACACCGTTTGACATTTTACACCGCTCTAGGCGAAGTCAAGTCCGTCTAATATCAGTATCTGAAGGCGCCGGGCGACTCTAACGAGAAACTGCCACCGAAACACACACGTCTGCGTTGATCCGGGAGGGAATAGTGAGACTGTTGGCATTTGACAAAAGGTAAAAAGCCTTTCTCTCTTCTTAGTAGCGTGACGCACATTTTAATGCTAAACACAGCTGCCAACACACCGGTAATTACCCAGGATGCACTGCACTGTGAGGCTTATTTATCGCCTATGGGTGTGTTATGCTATGCACCACACAAGGGTCATTGAATTACACTCACACACACACACACACATATTATACGCATGCACAAACATGCATACACACAGAAAAACTCATTATCCTGCTGCTTTTTTCAGTTTTCTTCCTCCCCTCACATCATCCCACAGCATCTTTCTCCTTATTTGGTGTCTTTGATTAAATGCAAACATTAAAACCCTTTCCTATTAAAAGATGTTATATATCACTCCGGATGTCTCAGAGAAGGTCTTTTCCAGTCGAACACTAGACTCTAGAGTCTGGGAATTTGCATTGAGCTCATCTGACCTTCAGAAACTAAACACACACACACACACACACACACACACACACACACACACACATGCTATCAGCCCTCCGCCTGCAAACATTACACTGTGCAAATGCACTCATGAATAATTATGCTTTTGCAAGAATAAGAAGAGTAACTGTAACCAACACTCGCAGTAAATCAATCGGTTTTGCACACAGAACTTCAAAAACATCCTCAGAAACTTGGCTTCACGTGTCACTTCAGAGAGCAAAGACACCTGGAGGCACAGAAAGCAACAGAAAACCCTGTCGGCATTAAGACACAAAGCATTCCAGAAACGTTCATGGCCAGAGTCGTTCTGACACGCTCGGTGTGAAATCACTGACAGCTGCAATGCTTTATGGGACCGAATCTGACCAGCGACCACAAACATCACAGCAAATGATGTAAGAGTAATATTATATTCCTCACGTGTGCTGCCACTGGTTTCAACATTTAGCCAACTAGTTTAGGTTGGTAAGAGAACGCCTTAATTATAACAGGGAGTATTGCTATAGATATTATTCATGTAGCTTAATGGGGGAAAAACTTTCTGCACTTACCTGGAACATATACATTATATATATTCGTTAAGTGATTATAAAAGTAAATATATATATAAAATATTACAAATTATTTTATAATTATTTTATAACATAATATATATATATATATATATATATATTAAATTAAAATACATGTAAATGTCATCATTTCTAATTATTGTTTAGATACTAATATTTAACAATTATATGACATTTATAATTCATATGAATACAAAAATAGTAGAATTTAAAATGTAGATTTAATAGCTTAATGGCAAAAACTCTTTTTTTAAGTTATTTGGAACAAAAAAACAAAACAAGTTTTGCATATATTCGTTAAGTGACTATATCAATCGATTGTTCAGTCATATTATATTAAATAAATATATATATGTGCGTGTGTGTGATATTATAAACACTTAATATATCTATATATTAATATATAAAATATAATATTTAAAAATATATATATACAGCATATATATTAAATATATACATATATATACACACACACATATATATATAAATGAAGTATAAATATCATATAATTGTTAAATTGTGTATATATACACTGTAAAAAAATATTGTTGGTTTAACTTAAAAAATGAAGTAACCTGGTTGCCTTAAAATTTTAAGTTCATTGAAATGGAAAAATTGAGTTAATACAATGAAGGAGATTGATTTAAACATCAGAAACTCAAAATATTATGTTATCTGAACCACATAAATTATTTAAGTTGATTTGACAAAAGAAAAAATGTTGTGATTACAAATCATGAACATATTTTTTTTTACAGTGTATATATACAAATATACAGCGATTGCCGATGCATTCAACTATTGATGAATAAAACTACATTATTTCCCACTGAATACTCAAAATGCTTCAGATTACACAGGCAAAATGCATTTCAGAAATGCCCATCCGACACTCATCCAGTGATGTGTTTGGCGTCGCTCACCCGCCTCTTTGCCCTCCGCCGCCCCCTGGTGCTCGTCCAGGCGCAGGTCACTCAGCAGGTGCTCCAGGATCTTGTGGGGCGTCCCGGACACCACCACGTACCTGTCGGACAGAGCAGAAGAGGAAGACTCGCATGGGTACTCTTCATCAGAGGAGGAACACGTAGAACAAGAGCCGCTCCACCGCTGTCCCTTTATCACATAATCATCCTCATCATCATCATCATCATCGTCATCGTCAATGAAACGAAAATGAGGAATATTAAACGTGGGTATTTCATCTTCATCCTCCAGACTGTTGCTGCATTTCCAATATTCATCATCATCATCCTCTTCTGCCTGCACCAGAGTGACAGGTCTGAGTTTTACAAAAGTCTTGCCGTCCATTCCAGCAGGGACACGTGTGTCGCGTCATGCCCAGCGCAGGAGTGTGTGTCAGGGCTGGAGAGGCGATCGACAAACTCACAGCAACCTGCAAACAAACCCTGTACACTCGCAGTTCAAAGCACACGAGTGTGTTCACATGCTCAAGCCCCGCTGACAGTGTAATGAGGAAGCAAACATCAGGAATGTGTTATGAAGAGAGCGGAAGACACTGATTGGAGGATGAAAGTGCTTGAGATATGTAAACAGAAGGGGAGGGGTCAGAGAAGGGGGCGTGGCCTCACCTCTTATCACCGTCGTCATCTTTGACTCCGGCCGACTGTGGAGACGCAGGATCTGATGGGACTCGCTGGAGGACCAGCACGTCCTGACCCCTCTCCTTCAGACACACACGCACCACGCTTTCCCCCTGCGCCTGAGAGATCAACACACACACCCCATCACTTACATGAGGAGACCACACAATCACACATCACAATCTTACTGAGGCCGGCGTAATAGATCTGGAAGAGTTCACTCAAATATGAACATATCTATGTGTGAACTGAATCATTTGATTATTCATTACTACTTCTCTCATGAACCAAGAAAAACTAGGGCGAATATATCAAGATCTTTAGTGAACAGCGGCTTCAATTTAGACCGGTTTGACCTAAACTTACATTTGTATAAATCACTTTTAACTTTTAAATGTGACATTTTTAACTTCAAAAGACTTGGAATATAGCGCACAAGTCGTTGTTTTTACCATACTTTCTTGTCATTTCTGGACATTGGTGGCAAATTATATTGAAAAGAGCACTTCAGATATTCTTTCTCATTTCATGTTTCATGAAAGAAAGTTAAACAAGTTTGGAATGACATTCATTCACAAATCATTCAGTCCCAAACTACGCAAACTGTAAAAACAGACTCAAACTATCCAAAAACAAAGGGTGTGATCAAAACCAATCAGGTTTGTGTACATCACAACGTGTATTTCTGTCATCAAATCCGACAAGTTTCTGCTTGCATATTTATCACACTCTCTCTTTCTCTCTGTTTCAATTAAGAAACTCGTCATTAGGGAGAAACGAGAGTCATTACAGTCACATTCACACAGCAGAATCACAAAAAAATTGGAAGGATTTGCTAATATTTGAAATGCAGCGGTAAATAATGCAAAAATAGTGCGAGTATTGTGGTTGTGTGCCACTTGGAAAAACTCCAAAATCAAACACACAGAAAAGCTTCATCAATAACATCGTTACTGTTTTAGCCCGTTCTAAATAACAGAGTAACTTGAACGTGTGTGTGTGTGTGTGTGCACTTTTAGACGTGTCTGGACAGCAGCGTTTGAGAAAGATGAAAGGCAGGAAAAGGATTAAGAAAATCTGAAATGTCTCATATAATCACACACACACACACACACACCTGCCGGATTCACAGGTGTGAATCATAATACACACATTCAGATGCATTCCGTCGCATCGGATGCTTTTGTGTTTGAAATCCAGCTCTTGTTATAATCTTGTGGCCTGCAGGTGTAAATACTTGAAATACTATATAGTAAATACTATTAAAACAAAACATGTTCTACTCTGAAATAAGGCTGGATGGCATATTGAAATATCACGTATGATCACAGTAATTTTGCTATAAAATCAAGAAGTGAATATCTGATTCATCAATGCACATTATTCTTAGTAAAAAAACAAAACAAAGTTTACTGCAAAAAATAAAACACGGAGGGGAAAAAAATCTATTTAAAAAAAAAATCGCCATATTTTCCAAACAGGTTTTACTTCACACAAGGAAGAATGATATTTAATAATTTGTATTTATATGCACCAACATAACAACACATAAACAACATTTCCTTATACTGTTCAAAAGTATTGGATCGGTGAGATTTTTAATTGTTTTTATAGTCTCTTCTGCTTACCAAGGCTGCATTTATTTGATTGTGAAATATTAAAGCAATTTAAAATAGCTGTTTTCTATGTGAATATATATTAAAATGTAATTTATTCCTGTGATCAAAGCTGTATTTTCACCATAATGAAAGCTGTCTTCAGTGTCACATGATCCTTCAGAAATCACTCTAATATGATGATTTGATGCTCAAGAAACATTTATGATTATTATCAATGTTGAAAACAGTTGTGCTGCTTCATATTTTTGTTGAAACGTTTATTTTAGGATTTTTTGATGAACAGAAATTTCATAAGAACAGCTAATATTTGAAATAGAATTATTTTGACACATTATTAATGTCTTTGCTGTCACTTTTGATCAGTTTAATGCATCCTTGCTGAATAAAATTATTAATTTATTTCAATAAAATAAATAATTACTGACCCTAAACTTATTTTATTCCACAGAATCACAAGAAAAAAGTTAGAATCACAAGAAATGGAAGAAAAGGAAACCATGAAATAGAAAGTTCAAAAGCACAGCATTTATTTAAAACAGATTCTTTTGTAACATTAAACATGCTTTACTGTCACTTATGATCAATTTAATGCATCATTGTTTCTTTCTTCTGACCCCACAGAAGTTACAGATTGTTACTGAAATGATTCTGCTCTGCTTGCTGTAATTTCAGAGCAAACACACAAATATAAATATTGAATATTTTTTTTAGCTATATCAGTTTTTTGTGTTCATAAATCATAATGACTGCAGGTCATTTTAAATATGATATCAGTCCAGGTGTCTTTAAATCTGGTGTCATCAGTATGAACATCTGCTGTTTGAGTCACAGCATTAAACAGGGCTTTTATCAGACCGATGTGTGGCGGTGTGTGTGGCAAGCTTGCGTCCGCTGAGACGACTCACTCATTGACTGAGCACCTTTACAGGTGAGTGAGATCATAAGCTCCGCCCACACGTCTGTCTGCGAGCATAAGGGCGGAGTCACACAGGTGATGACATGCTTTAATGCAGGACTTCAAAGTAGATCATGAAGTTGCAGTTGCTCCTGCAAGTGTGTGTGTGCGCACTTTATTTTACAGTACGTGTACTTACAGTGTATTTACCTAAGAAAGTACTGGGTAATATAAGGTAACTACATGGTTAAGTTTAGGGGTAGGTAGTGCCTATATTATCCAGTTATTGCAATTATTGCAAGTACATAGTATGTACATGGGGAACAGGACTATAAACTAAAGTGCTACCGAAATGAGAATAAGTAAACTAAACACTATTAGTTGTAATGTAGACACATGCATTTCTGTAAAGCTGCTTTGAAACGATAAGTATTGTGAAAAGGGCTATACAAATAAATGTGAATTGAATTGAATGTTAGCCATTTTAAAAAGAGAACAAGTCTTTCGATTCTTTTCTCAACCCAACTTCCTTTCTTCAACATCAACACGAGAAAGAAAGCTAAAGTCAAAGTCCATGGAAATGTAAGAGATATATCTGTGCTCAGACACACACTGACCCCTGTACGGGACAACGGTACGATGCTATCGACGTAACCGTGTTGAATCTGCCCACGGGCATCAAACCCAGGACAAAATGTTCCGGAACATGTTCACTAAAATATACAAAATCCATTAGCAATTGAACACACACATCCCTGAACGACCGTCGGTGGAGAGAACGCTGGGCCTCAGAGACTCTGACTGATGATTGGTCATTTCACCCGCTCTCCCGGAGAGTGAAGGATGCTGGGACGTAGGAGGAAGGGAAACATCCGCACTCAGACACTCAGACGGACACGTGGGGTCCAAAACATGACCTCTGACCTCTTAATCACGGTCAGTTTTCGCTGTTACTTAACCGGAATTGGCATTCCAAAAAAAACGTCTGAACATTCCAAAAATACTCCCCAGTCTGACCACAAATAATGCAATCCGGAACAAACACGGAGCGTTTCCCAAACATTCCCTAAACACTCCGAAACGAGCGTGGATATCAGATCGAGCCTGCGCTGCTTCTCCCTGCAAATGTGTTTATAAAAAGCAACGTTAATAGGATTTTCCTGCAGTTACGCGATTCCACGGAAAAACACCTACATTAACAAACACCAGATGATGCTGGGAAAAATGTTAGCGATGCGAACGATAACAAATAGTTTATCTGCTCTGTCCGTGTGCCTCTCTAGAGCCTTTCCAAAATCAGCCCGCGTCTCTCTGGGGAGTTAACGCACTACAGAACGAGTACTTCACACACTGAACACACACGGCATTTCAATGTCAGTTATGCACACAGACTCTGGCCATAAAAGCCATGGAAATAAAAAATATATATTTATAATCAAGCTGGCAGTGAGAGCGTTACGCAACAGAGGAATGAAAGAGGTGAATGTGCTTCGGTACATTGTGAACGTTTCCATGAGTTCTCACAGGATCTGCCGGCACATACTAATAAAATAATAAATAAAGTATGCTTTCAGGGCACGTGATGATGAATATGGTCATAAAATGTCCGTTTGGCGTCATAACGCCATCCAGGGGCGTAGCCATCATTTCAAAAGTGAGGGGGACAGAATGTCAAGGTTTTTTCTTCAGACTTTTGTTGACAGGTTTTTGCTTAATTGGTTTAATATGCAATTTATTTTTAAAGCAATAAAACAGAAAGAAAGAAATGCAGATGTTCAGTACTTTATATTGCACATGCAGGGTTTTTGGTTGAAAAGGAGGCGGAGGTGGTAAAATCCCGACCATGTATTTAAATTAGATAATAAAATGTTTATTTTTCGTAGATCACCATATAGCCTAGGTGTTACCCACATTATTTTTGTAGGTGGATCTCGGTACTTCTAGGGGGGTCCGGGGGCATGCCCCCCCGTAAGAAAATGTTGTAAATTTTAAAGATAAATTCATTAATCTGGTGCACTTTGAGTCACTCGAATCCACTGTTAAAAATAAATAATCCACCCGTCAACCGCCCAAACATGATATTCTCTGATTTATATTTGATCATCGCATTACAATTATTAAAATGATCAATGTTAAACATGATAATATGGTTAAATATCACACTGAAGTAGACTGATTTAAAAATAACATTTAGGTTACTTAGAATAAAAGTTCTTCTTTTGGCAAAATTAAATTTCCTTAAAAGCCTAAATGTCTGTCTTACTAAACTTTCCAATTAAAAACCTTCAAATTTCAAGCTTTTAAAACTACGTAAAACTTTCTAGTTAGGCTTTTTCAAGAGAACTTAAAGTTTGTCTATAACTTTTTTATCTAATTGTAAAGTGTTACCGAATTATGGTAAACATCATGTAAATGTTATAGGAACGCTGCCTGATTCAAGCAGATCGTGGCTGTTATTGCATGAAAATACAAATTCAGCATTAACAATCACCATGTTTATTCTAATTTGAAGGGCTTTGATAACATGTCTGTGAAAATAAAAGACATTACGAATAAAAAAAGATTAAAAATAGTGCACGTTTTTGCGGGTAGTGAATATTTTCAA